ACAAATCTTCCCGAGGCGAAGGGAAATTTAATCGCTAATTTCCCTCTAGTCATGTTGTTAGTTTGTAATATTATGATCGCCGAGGAAAACTCAAAAAAGTTTGTAGAGATAAGTTTAGCTGTTTGATTTTGTATTTTTCGATGAAGTTGTTTATGAGTTTGACTATTGATTGAAATAAGTGTACCTTTGGGACATGCTTTGTTGTTGTGAGACTTATGTAAATCACTGCATTGATTTTAAACTTAGTTTTCGAATATGGCTGCAACTGGAAGGTTCTATTTTGTGTCAGACCGGACAGTTGAAAATGTTTGAAAGATAGAGTGCCAAAGAATACCATAAGGCACACTACGTGGAGTACAAATGTGTACAACGCGTGGGTTAAAGAGAGGAACGAGCAGTTTAAAGATTTTCAAGCAGAAAGAAACGAATTTCAGAGGATTCCAAATTTAGACTCTATTAATTTAGAAGAAATTAATTTAATTTAAATTAAAATAGTTCCCGCCTAAGCGAATAGCGAATGCGACACAAGTTCGCATACAATATTAATCTAAATCTGCAGTTAATTACGTGTCTTGTTTGTATGGTATTAAATTAAACAAAGTAGCAATAGCGTGCAACTGGAGATAATAGGATAGCACGTAACCTTGAGTAGGCGCGAATGCATAGCGAACTAATACAATACAAATTGTGACTCATGTTGCACAGCAGAAGAGCGAGATAAAGTTATATATTAATAGTGTAATATAGCAGTAAATTCAAGAACGTTATATTAGAGAAGTAAACAATATGGAACGAACTCACTCCGTTTGAGGTCACAGAACGTGGATTGCAAGCGGCAACATTCTGGTTCTGGAACACTGCATGCATGGGATTGTGTGCGTCTCAGGGAAACTGCGTCGTCCTTGGACTTGTGATCTTGCGCATTACTTTGCCATTTCTTCCAAGATTGGTCTGTTTTTTTTTTTAATTTCCACTTCTTTGCCAAGGTTTGGTCCCTTACATTTTAGCCAAAAATTTTGCCAGAGATGTTAACGCACTGGCTAAAGTCTTGCGAATGAGCAGTGCACGTCGACATTGCGATCAAAAGTCCTTGCGCAAAGAGGGGGCCATTGTACGTATGCACGTGAAGGAAAAAACCTTCAGGATAAACCATTTTATAGCGACATAGACAACAGTTTAGATTAATATGTAATCGGACCTTCCTTTGATTATTAAAAAGTACTGACCAAGAAACAGATTGAAAATGCAGCACAAAGGGATATGCAATAATAGGATTGTTATGACGAAAATATAAAACATTACGGAAAATCAGCAGATATTTTTTTTTTAAAGAAGATTAATATTTTCGTGAAGCATGACAACATTAATTGTAGGTTTTAAAGCTTTTTTATTATGTCCTTGAACAATCATGATATCACACTTTTTGAAATCTCGAAAAAAATATAATTGAGCTGAATTCCGCTAAATTCCGTTTACATACGAATGAACTTATTTAATAAGATAACTAGTATAAAATATTTGCAGTTGAAAAGTAGGTCACTTTGAAATTATTGTTCTGTTGTTATCAAAAGAGTTGTTGTTAGTGTTTTTGACGCCAGTAACAATGAAAAAAATGATTCAATTGAGAGAATTGTGCATAGCAATAAACAACCTAGAAATTTTGTATACAACATCAGAATTTAAAAACCCAACCCTTAGATATTTTTAATTCAGTACGTCTTATAATGTAAAATTGTTTCCCATGTAAAATTGTTTCCAGGCATGGTATCAAGTTACGAAGTAAATGTTCTTTCTTACTGTACTTGAGTATTATTTTTAAGAAGTGAGCATGTAACAAAGTAATAAACTTATTTTGGAGTACTTTTACTTGGAACGAAGTCGTTTTAAGAAGTAACGTTTTACTTCGTTATTTTCATTTTGTTGCGTAACTTTCTCACATTTGTTTAATTTTACGCGATTTATTCTTGATTTATTTTAATTTTGAGATAGGTAATAGGACATCTACATGCGTCTGGGATCTCTCGTTTGTGGCTTACCTATATAAGCATTATTTAGTTAACGCATTTCTTATATCTTCAACGGGGTTTGGAAAGGAGACAATGCCGTATACAATGAAATATTGTATATTATGGCGCACGTGTATAATGCGTGTGTTATATTGTGTCTTTTGTATGTCAATCCATTGGAAAAGCCCCCCCCCCCCTTCCTTCTACAGGCTACAGAGAATGGTACTTTTACTTCAACTTTGTACTTCAAGTATTTTTTAAGGATACTTTGAACTCTTTACTTCAGTACGTTTTGCTACCAATACTTTTTACTTTTGCTTCAAGTCGTTTTATTGTTGATTACTTCTACTTTCACTCGAGTACAAATTTAAAGTAATTTATGCGCCACTGATTGTTTCACACTGTAAATGCGGAAGAGTACTTTTGACCCCCAGGGGTCAATTCCGTCCCTTTGGAAAGAGGATAGTTTCTACACTTCGGAAGGGTCGTTTGAACTCCAACGGTAGTTTTGACTCCTTGGAAGGGTCAAAATAACTCTTCGCGGTAATCTTGCGACTCCACGTGAGAGTAACAACCACTCTTCCAAGGGTCCAATTTGACCGGTATCGGACAAGAAGACAAGACAATATATATACAATAAAAACAAAATGTAAAATGTTGGCAGTCCTTTGGAGATATTCCTTCTTCAAAATTTTTAAAAGACTATACTAATTACTAATATAGTTGTATAAACAACAGAACAAGACGAAATATTAGCTACGTGTTTGAAACTAAAGTGACTCTAGTCAGTCCAATCACCCTGCATGTAGTTTTAATTCCCGTCTCCTTTATTTCAATGCCAACCTTTTGATTGAGTTAATTTTAAATTCTTCACGAGTTCATGGAAACTATATTACAGTCACATAGTGTTTGTGGAGGTATGGTAAAAATTGTCACGATGAGCGCGGTTTGACGGTTTGACGGACTGGTTCCAAGATTTCATACAACAGGCGCAAAACTTCCTGGGATAGCGTCGTCACACTGACACCGTCATATTTTTTAAATTTTTATTTTAAATTTTTATCGCTACAAACATTCGCTCAGGGGCGTAACTAGCCCCTTTTGATGGGGGGGGGAGGGGTGTCCGCTAGAATTGCCCGACGAAACCGATTATGCCCTGCATCCAAAACTTTTTTTGTCAAATATATTTCGCCAGCGGGGGGGGGGAGCGGGGGGGGCTGGAGGTCGAAAAAATTATTTTTGACACAAACCAGTTAAATTAAAGGTAAAAAATTTTCGGACATACACCAGTTCAATTAAGGGTTAAAATATTTTTTTCGGACAAAGTCCTGTTAAAACATGCATAAAACCCTTTTTTTAACAATATCTGAAATTTAAAGTCTTTCATTGCCCTGCCCATCCAGATGATTTAAATTTGTCGACTAGATTTTCAGTAGTTTGCCCGACCTTTTCTTAGTTTTTGCCCGACAAGAGTACCGTTTCGAAAGATTGGGCGGGGGGGGAGACACCCCCCAACCCCCTTATAGTTACGCCCCTGCATTCTCTTAATGGAAGTTAATACCTTTTAAACAATATGAAACATGAGGGATGACTGAGTAATTTTCAGGTAAGAATATTGTTATGTTTTATATACTATAGAGCAATTTAAAAAGGAAATATGACATAAATACATTAGTTTTATATACAAAGACTTACAATTGACCAGCCTTTAATCAAATTATATCTACTGTAAATGCCAAATAGTATAAAACTTTGTGTGTATGCCAAATTGCCAGATTCCATTGTTTCTTGTCTAAAATAATATAGATGCCTACTGCGGTAGGTAAACATTGTTTGAGAGAATTTATCGACTTGTTTCAAATCATGCTCAACTGCTACTTTCATGGCAAGGGTGTTGATGTTTTTTAATTACAAAACGAGCACAATTTTCAGCACTGATGCCGTACAATTTTATTCATCAAGGAAAGTGTCTATCTAAACTCTTCCATGTTTCATGTTATTAGTGTTGACCAACTTCGTTCCCAGGGTTTTCGTATGAGGACGAGAGGAGAGTTGAGAAAGCCCTGGACTGGGCCGGTCACGTGACTACTTGATAAATTTGACAGCTACTCGTCAAGGAGTGGCAAAATATTCTTCATTGAAATACCAGAGGAGGTTGGACAGCTGTCACGTGAAAATTTCGACCAATGAAATCGCGCTATTTTCCCATCGTGTTTGCGAAGATGCATTGGACACAGAAGAACTCAAAAAATATATATAAATATTCAAATTTTTCTATCAAAATGCAACCATGGCCTTAGTATTATAAAAGGACTGGCGATATGTGCAAGAATTTCTGAGGTAAACGCTATTTTTTAACCTGTTTTCGATGATTAAAGTTGGTCATGCCGTGGCAACGTGATGACTCAAGTCCGAGCCTGTTTAGAATTTTCAAACTAAAAAATCTGGAATTCCCATGGTTTTGATTTTCGTAATTTTTTCAAAAAAATTCAAGACAAATGTCTAAACTAAAAATCTGCTGGAAGGATCCCCGGGATTCCCCGGCAGTATTCGAGATATTTGGCATTGAAGTGACCATACTCAATTCAACATTTGCCAAAATGGCGTTTAATATCTTGGGAAGATATTGTGCCATCAAAGCTTGGTTTTCACAATGAATTTTGAAAGTCCCCCAATATTAGGATCATTTTTCTTTACAGTAAATGTTAAATTACTTTTGAAAGACTATTTAAAAGACTTAGGAGTTATTTGCCTGTTTTTACAGATTTTATATCTGGGCTGGTATTACTAGCCTGCATGCCCATCTCCTTGACATGCATGCCTATCTCCTTGGCAAATGAAATTGTCTGGTGGTAGAGACGACTTTAATTAAAAGAACAGCACATTGTAAAGTGGTCAGATTTTCTCTCAGTGAAAAATTCTATGTTTCTTTTTAATTACAGCAGTTCAGATGTCGATATGGAATTAAAAAAGGGCTTCTTCCTGAACATCCAAGGGCAGGGCCAACTGACGATTTTGAAGAAAGAAGGCATTTTAGCATGGATTACTAGTATAGATTATAGTATCTCTTGTCCTTTATGATGTCTTTTTGAAAGTTATTGGTGAATACAAATTGAGCTGTGATCCCTCAACGTGGCCAACAACATGCTCCACCAAATACCTGAGCACAATATAGAAAGTGCACATACATGCAGGGATGGATTTACTGGGAGGGTGTGGGGTGTGTACCCCCTAGCCCTGGCCAGAGGGGGTGCAGGAGGGTGCTATTTTTTATGATAAAGCAAAAAAGACAAAATGAGATACAATAATTTGAGTAATAACATGATGATAAGTGAACTGTGAACAATTACAATTCAAATACAGCAGTTGATGGGTGGGCGGCACACATGACAGACACAACTCAGCAGTTGGCACCAGAGCACCCCCCTACCAGATCATGCTGGATCCATCCCTGCATACATGTACTGTATCATATTTAATTAATGCTTGAGCATATTTGTTCAAATTTATTGACATTAATAATTAAATTATGTTTGTTATAGTAGTGTACATTTTGCACCAGCCACTCTTGAAATTAGACGTCAGCCACTTTTTAACTCGGTGGCCATGGATGACCTAAGAAATCGTTTTCTTTATTAAACAGCAACTTACAAGCGTTGTGATATTTCTTGAATACCTCAAAAGTTGTCAGCTGCTGTTTACATTATCTACTTCATATGTTTCGATAATTTTTGTTGAAAAGATGCTGAATTGTCAGCATGTGACGATTCATTTCAAGCACCATGTAAGTTGCCACACTTCACCCACAGTATTTTTTAGACAAGCCAGTTTTAACACCCTGGCTGGTACATTTATTGTATATACCTGTAGTATAATTCACCATGTTTGGTTTTTTAGTATGCATGAACACTATTATTAAGTTAAAGGAGGAAGCATTTATAATGGCATTGTAAGAGCATTTATAATGAAATTGACAGTAAGATGTAATTTTATTGTTGGAGATGGGTTGGTGCTTTAGGGTTTAGGCTCAATTCCTGCAGAAGGGTTAGATAAAGTCACAGCAATTTCAAAATTAATTACATGGCTTGACAAAATAAATTCTATTCAGTCACGAAATAGGTAGATGGATTTATTATAGCACATGTTTTTTTAAGTTTAGATATAGGAAATGAGAACCATATTGGTGTCCTAGTAATAAATTTATGCCATAATAAAAAAGCAATATTGCTATTTTGAGTGAGTTGCACAAGTGCACATGACAGATATTGTTTTCTTATAGATACACACCTACTTAAATTATTCTTGTTTGGCAATAAAGTGAAAGGTAAAAATGCTGAAAAAATCTAAAAAGTTAGCCAATTTAAATAACATCATTTCTATAACTTGCTAAACCTAGTCAGTTACAATTATATCCCTAACATCTGTCGACATACATTCATGCCCCTCCTTACCACTTGAGCCTCCCACTCACCACATCGCTTTATGAAAAATTTTGAACAAAATCCTATTTTAAAAAAGTCAACCCTATGCTAGTCTTTATATGCTGATCATACACCTCTAAGATATCTCATGCAGCAATTAGTGGGTGCAAATAATATAGCCAACATCACATGTGTCTATCCAGTTCCATAGTTTACATCAATTGCTATTGCACTTGAGTCCATTGGATTCAATGGCTTTGGCCGTATTCTTACATTCACTGGTTTATCTTGTCCATGAATAGCAAGGCATGCCTGTTACAAATGATCTTGGTAATGTTTCTCATGAGCAGCACCAATGCACTTGAATGGTACAGCATGGGTGATTTCATCCTCTTCACTTTCATCCTGATCACTTAACTAACTGGTCATCACTTTCTGCCCTATCACCTTCATTACCATATCCATCCTGACCAGGTTGAAGACCACTGAACCACTCAAGTAGATCTCTTTCTACAAAATCATAACAAGAAAATTTTTATTTTATTATTTTATACATACACTGTAATCTCTAAAATTAGCAATCTAATGCAAAATTGTGTCACTATTTAGAGTAATATTAGAACACACAAATATTATTTTACAGATGAAAATTGAAAAATATAACTATACTGTGTGCACATATATGTAAAAATCTATCCATACAAACAGGCATCATACTTAGCAAAAATGTATTAAACAATTCGTTTAACTCAAAACATGTACATATGTATCACAGTGACACAGTACACATACACACACAATAGGGTCAAACTAGAGGCATTGTAAACACAAGTATGGCGCCATAATTTTGTACAGTGTATTTATATTAAAAGTACAAGAATAAAAACAACAAAGCGGAAATTTGACTATAAAATAACACGATAACTGTAATGCATTGTAGTATACCAACCTTAAATACTGCGCTTGTTTTCACGTTGATGATACACGGAGATTTAACGCCATCCAACTTAGAAAGAAGAGCCTCGCTATTGGGAATATAAATTAAACACAATTCGTTTTTCTCAGACGGATTATTTATAAAGCTAAAATGACAGCACGTCCCATGCAATTTAAAAAAGGTAAACTTGATATAGTAAAACACAAGTCATAATGATGATCGCAACAATACAGCAATAACATGCTGTTTTCACGAATTATTCGAAAAATTCCATATTGGTTTTGTAGTCAGAGAGATGTTCACTCCTCGACAGTCAACAGTCAATGAAAGCCACGCGTGGAATTAGGCGCTCAATACCCATGATTCTTTGCAGCCTGCTGTCCAACCTCCTTTGATGAAATACGCAAATCTTCGAAACAAATAAACAGCAAAGGACTTCTCAATTGATAATATTTATGTGTAATGAAGCTTGCACGAATCACCTGAAATCTCCGAAGACCCTGTTGATGTTTTCTAAGATATACCAATATTTAATTTTTGATTATTTTTATTCTAGCTAAAAGAATGCCTTTATGAAATTATATACATAAGAATGGACTAATATGAGTTTACTCATCAGGAAAAGCGTGTCGATACAAATCCAAACTCTGGTTCTTTTTTAACTTTAGGAATAAAAATCTAATCGACATGCAATGTTTATTTCATTGCCAATTTGATTCCCAAGGGACGTCATATGGAAATTTTGTTTAATGTGAATCATTACTTTGTTTTATAACTAACAATCAATCTTTAAGTGTAATTTTTATTTTTAAAGTAAATCTGCAAGGGAATAATCCAAAATTAAAGATAAAATCACTGAAGTTAAAACGATTCCATGTAAAGTGACAATTGCTTTCAATTTAGTTTGATGCGGCGATATTTGTTGTTTTTTCGCCAATTTCAAAAATTTCTCGCAATTTCAAACACTTGTATTTCACACGGAAATTAAATGTTATATATTAAAATCTAAGTTAATCATTTGTGCATACAATGGTTTTTATTTTAGTGAAATAGCTTAAATAGGTTTTACGTCATGAAATCAAAGAGGGTATAGTTTTTTGAGGAACACCCGGTAGATCGTTGACCATATTGTGTGGAGTGTAAAGTCCATAATCTTTGAGGTTTTTTCGATTCGGATTCTTTGTTTTGTTCCAAATACTTCAAACAATGCGTTGGCATCCACGTCGTCGTTTGCAGCATCATCATTAGATATTTTCTTCCTTGTGGCTTCCCTGTCAATACCATCCTCTACCATATCATCACGTTGTATTTTTATGTAGCCATAAATCCTTGTAAACCTCTAGCAAACTTTCTCCGCTTTAATCATAGACTTGTTCTCCGCGAGACGAATTTCTAATCTTTTCCGAAGTACTTTTTCAAATTGTTTCTAAACCAGGATTTTGTGTTACTGTTTTTAAGGTGAAAGACTAAAGCCATACTATCCGGTACGAGAACAGAGTCGACTTCAAGTTTTGGAATACTCACGTAAATTTCTTTGCCAGGTTTAACCACAGTTAATAGAAATAGGATGGTTTGGAAAGCCGGCGAACTTCAAAGAGCGGCGGCAAATATGTTGCGCCACAAAGGAAGTGAAAGTCACGTGTCAAATAGTGTGCATGCTCTCGAGCGAAGTGCTTAAGATTATTAATGCGTTCAACAAAAATCTTATAAAAAAGTGTTTTTAAAAGGTCGATACAGCTGAAATTGAAATGGAGGAAACTTCTGAGAGAGTTTTAGAAGAAATAACGTCGAGTGTAAAGCCGTCTGGCCCATCGTTAAGCAGCGAGGAACTGACAATGTTATTCGATGAAGATGCTTTGCACATGAATATTGCGATTGATTTGTTGAAAATGATGACCTATCGGTGGAAAATTAATTTATAAACGCGTTGAACGAGATTGATGGTCTTATGGTTTATCCTTGCCATATGTATAACATGATTTGTAAATCGAAAGGCGGTTTGACAAGCACAAAAAATCAAAACATATCGACGATGTTTCTGGCACCTCTGAGGGTTGCTATACAACACCACTCGATAAAAACACAATGAACTCGATCGTTAACACAATAAAGCAAAACATTATAGACGAAGAATTGTATGGAGACGAAATAGAATCCTCTATTAAAAATGTTACTGCGACAGAAGCACTCTTCAACGAGGTTGAGCCTTTATACTCGAAATTTTGTAAAAACAAAAATCAAGACAAACTGCTAAAAATCTTTCTATGGTTTAATGCTAAAGTCAACGACTCTTCTTGATTTGGCAGACTCTCGTATTACCAACCTTGTAATGATACATATTCTAGACCATTTAATATTCTATAATATAAGTGATCATTCTATAATATAAGTGGAAGAGGTGATGATTCAGTCACCACTCACCACCACTGAGAAACACAACAAAAGAATGTGAAAAGATTGAAGCATGTGAAATGGGACCTCTTTCCTATATTGCTGGATATGTTGTTAGGCAATTAACGAGTGCAAGAAAGAAAAAGAGTGAGTCAGAGAACACTGAACTCCAAGGATTACTTGGGAGCCTGCAGTCGGAGCAAGAAAATAAAAGCTTCATACAAGCTAGAAACAGAGGTGGTCTTGTCAACCCATCAGATGACCCCATAGGAATTTTGCAAGAGGCAAAAATGAACTTTTGTAGAGAGGTTAACAAATCAAAGGAAGTCCTCAGAAATATCCCAGTGGATGTGATTTGTTATAAAACTATTAGCATTCCCATTGTGAAATCATTGTGGGATAATCTAATATACAAATAATGAATGTTTATGAGTGCAATGGTAAAAATATTTTCATTCGGTGAAAGATGGAATGTTCCATTCAACGAGGCTCCGAGTTAAATGGAACATTCCATCTTTCACCGAATGAAAATATTTTTACCATTGCACTCATAAACATTCATTATTTGTTTTAAATAATACCAAGATAGACTAATAGATTCATATGAGAAGCATTTTGACGGATTCGATTTATTCTATAACACAAAAAGTGCAATGGAATAAAACGTATACCGTAAACCTCCAAATATAAGCCCCCCATGTATTAGCCCACCACATGTATTAACGCTCACCTCATTCCAACTATAAGCTCTCCCCCTGAATATAAGCCCACTTGTTTATCACTATTGTTTATCACTATTACCCATAGATATCTCATATCTATGCTATTACCACTATTAATCGCTACTATTACAATAGTATGCTTGTTTAGCACTTGTTTATCACTATTACTATACTTGTTTATCACTATTACACTAACACAAAAGATCGTCCATGTATAAGACACCCCCCCCCCGTATATAAGCCCATCAAAAAATCGCTTACGAAAGAATATAAGCCCAGGGTTTATAGTTGGAGGTTTACGGTAGTACAATTGCACTTGCAAAGAGTGCAATGGAACATATTCCATTGCACTCTTGGGAAATGGAATTTTCTATTCAATATCATGTCACCATAAACAGCCAATTAAACGATCAGAATTCAATAAGGTATTATATTAGGGGGAGAGTGCTGCCACTCAATAGGTTAAACCAAACTTGTAAATTATGTCAAATTTTAATCTGATTTTTGTAAATATATGTTTGAAAACTACAAGCGTAAGCAATCTCATTGGGTCATTAATCCAGAAAGATCGCCCAAGGAAATTCATGAAAGGTGGTTGGGAAAAAGTGTCATAAATTTTCCACTGCTAAGCATGAAAGGAAACAGAAAAATGTGTTCACACACATTTATAGAAGTAATGTATTATGCAGGTCAGGACATTTTTGTTGTTGTTCACAGTAGATTGGCATATAATATTTTATTTGTTGTTAGCAAGCCATTGTATGATAACTTATATGTTTAGCCTATGGCTGATATGAGGATATCCAGTGGGAGGGGGGTGTATTTGGGTGGCACTTGCATCTAAACACTTTTAGAGTTTCAGTAAGGTAGTCCTCAAACAGTAACAAGGGGAGCTTTCAATGTAGGGGTGGGGGGAGTTGGAGAGACATGTGAAGAGCAAAGTGGGGGTTAAAAGGCTTGTAGAGCTGGGAGTTGAAAAGCTATGCAGGGCCTGGGGATTAAATAGCTAAAGTGCATGGAGTGTACAATTCTACAAAACATTATCAGACTAGCTTGGACAATTCCTTTATATTCATATACATATTTTATACTTATAGCAAAGTTACTTCATGTGACATCGGAATGGTCTAAAGTGATCACCAAGAGATTAGTAAAATATATTTGAATATACCAAAGTTCCCAATAACATTTCAGAAATTTCAAGTATATGTACAAAGATATTAAAATGAAAGTTAAATGCAATAAAAATTATCAACTATGATCATGCTTCACCACCAAAATTCAGTTCCTATGTACAGTATCATCTACCTTATGGAATATATATTGTTATTGGATGTTCGTTTCTTCAGTTCTGATGTAATCGCTCTGGTTCTGAAAATAATTTCAAGCCATTTCTCCCGAGTTTCCTTTTTTATTGACGACTTATATTCACTTTCGTGCGCGCTCATGACTGGTATTCGAAACAATGAAATTTGGTGCTTTTGGCTTGTTGAACAACCAAAAAAAGCACAATTACGGCCAGGCATAGCTTTAATACTTCATAGCTAGCTAACGAAATTCCCAACAGATGGCCAACATATATTATATTGATATTATTTCAATGTAAATTAGGTGGTTCGTGATATGTATTATTACGCCATTTTTAATATGATGCACACTATTTGACACGTGACCCTTCCAAGCATGGATCAAAGACATATTCCGAAACTCCGCCCACTTTCCAAACCATCCCCTTCTATTAACTGTGGTTTAACAAAGTTAGGGTTGAAGGAAAGGTCTGGACGTGTTTGGTCCTATCCCCAGTAATTTCCCATCTGTTCATGCGTCGGAAGTTGGGCATAAGTTACGTTGTTCGGTCCATTATGTTTTTCATTATAGTATGATTTATTTCTTTTGTCTGTTTTGTAGCTATTTGAACATAACTCCAGCAATCACAATCGCTACGATCCACAAATCTTTGACGAGAAAGGCAAGAGCCATAGCTGCCCAGCTTAGGATGGTGCTCAAAAAATTTAGGATAGGTACGAGGATTGGTAGTGCGAATTTTGCTAAGGCTTTTCCTACAGCTCCAATTCCGTTAGATGCCCCCATAATAGTCTTCTTTCCGGCTTCTACGACCGTAGTGATGATTCCAGCGACGGAAATAGCGATAGCGGCTAATACACCCTGGTTTTCCTTTGCCCATTTGCGGAATCTTTCAAATTTTGTCCGAATGTTCTCCCTTCATGAGGAACCGCACTAGGTGCGAAAAAATTAAGGGTGAAGTGTCTGTTGCCATAGAAGTTGTAATTAGGTTTGACAGACACCAATTATAGGCTATTAATAAGAGGAGAAGACAATTTGTAATGCAATACATCGCTTGGTGTAACTGTTAAATATTACACTCTAAAAACAGGTGTGTTCAATTACACACCAAGGTGTGTTTAATTACACACCAAGGTGTGTTTAATTACACACCAAGGTGTGTACATTTTACACACCTTCCTATACAATTTTAGAAAACACACCTTTGTGTGTTAGAAAACACACCATGATGTGTTAGAAAACACACCATGGTGTGTAACAAAACACACCTAGGTGTGCTAAGAAACACACCTGTATTTTACACACCTTTTCGTACACACCTTTGATGCATATAAGGTGTGTTCAATAACACACCTTTTGAACGAAAACACACCTTGGTGTGTTCGGGAACACACCTCATACTAATTTGCAAAAACACATCTTGGTGTGTTAGATAACACACCCTACGCCGATTTTGGAAAACACGCGTGCACGGTGTGTACTGAAAAATGCTTTTTAGTAACATACAATAAATCCAATCATCAATCACGGTAATGTATGCTATAATATGTTTTTCGGATATATACAGTAGATGTTAATGGCGATTTCGACTTTGCCGGCGATATCAAGTTTTACGTGTCTAATAACCGTTTGATATTTGTTGTGTAGTATTTTATTCTTTCGCATGTAGTAAGAGCATTACTGGGACTATTTATTTTCTAAGAGATTAATCTGTCTTTAGCACACCATTAATATCTGAAATCAAATATAGCCGGTAACTGGCCTTTTGAAGCTCTTCGGATCGAAAGAAACGAAAATTCTCACGATGAGCGCGATTTTACAGACTGGTGCCTAGTTTTCGTACTGCGCGCGCAAAGCTTCCCGGGATAGCGTCATTTATTCACACCGCCATTACGCCATATTTTTCAAGCCTTCATTCTGAATTTATGGTTCGAAAAATTCGCTTTTTTTAAGCGACGACGAATGATTTGAACGAAGAGGAAACAGCGAGCATGACTGAATAACATTCAGGTAAGCATATTGTTATGTTATATGTATAATGGAGCAGTTTTGAAAGTAAATATTCGCTATCTTCATTCATGAATTTTGAGCATGTGTTCATGTTTAAAATTTGAATTTGCCGCGACAATATTTGAATTAAAAAGATGATATATTAGTTTTATAGAAGGCTTACATTTGACTTTATATTAAATTATGTTTATTGTATAATAGGCCGTATTCTGTGACCCCAAAAGTCGCTTAGAAAACAAATTTCGTTGCCCCCATTCGGGACCTACTTTTAGTTTACATGAATCTATAGTTTTTGATACGCTGAGTACGAATTCACTTGTTGTCACTCGCACAGACCCGCAGTTTTTTTGTATTTTACGATCAAACATCAACATTTTTTATTAAAATTTCCGCCATTTTGTTCAGGAAACTTCATGTTATATACAGTTATTGTACTAGTCCAAGTCTCTTAGCAGGGGGGTTGCACGCGGTATTACGCAGTTTGTTATCATTCCTCTGAGAAAAATATACAGAAATAAAACAAAAATATAGAGATTTTTCCACAATATAAATGCAAAAGGTACTGCTACATGTTTGTAAATACTTAGGAATTAATCTATTATTCTTTATTGCATCAACTTTTGGGTTTTTTGGCTCATCATGATGTGAAATTGCAAAGACTGTCACTATATCCACAAAGACTCACTTTTGTCATTGGTAAAGTTGTTTATTTTACTTATTACTAAAATTATGTACATAATTTTGGCCTTACAATATGAAAAGGCAATTTTCCTGGATACTGTCTACATGAAAATTTTGTCAACAATAAAGTTTTGAAGGTTTTATCCCTCAGAGAGATTTCAAAAGAAATTTTAACTTTGAAATCTTCTAATGGGGTGTTTATATAGAGGTGAGCCAGCCCATCCACCCGAGCTAGCTCTCTTTGCTGAGCTGATTTTATCCCATGTTTACATTAGACCCTTGAGGTGGGCTGTCTTGCCAAAACAAATCGCTGGTCTTACCGCTATAAATAGTATAATATAAGTAAATATATTTTTATTTTTCAAGATCTCACCTAGGCAGGCCAGCTCGGTTCCCATTTAAACACAAGATAAATGTTAGTATAAATTACATAGCAATGTTAGATCTCGGCAAAGCAAGCTAGCTCGGGTATCTGGGTTGGCTGCCCTCCATATATAAACACCCCCTAAGAAAATAAAGAAATGTTATTTTGTATCAATAGATTGATGTGAATTATGTATTAATTATTTAATGCCCAGCTGTTATCCAAGATCTAAGGCTTGGAAAAGAGTCTTGGCCAGGCAGGCCAGCCCAAGAGGAAAGAAGGTTTATATAACTAAGGCATATTGGTAGGTAGTGATGCCAGATTACTTTAAATTTCTATTGTCTGCCTGGTCAAATATAAAATATCCCTGAATCCAGTAGTTCAGTTGGTAATTAATGGCAGCTCAAATAGGATTAGAGCTTAAGGTGATGATGGATCATGACAATATGTTGTATTTAATATTTTTTTTACACATTTAAACCTCAAATGGCTCGATCAATTAATGTTTCTAGGTGGCATGACTTTGAGATTTGTTCCAGCACGCCCATGCTTGCCTCAACAGTACAGATAGGTACAGATATTTCACAGCACACTCCCTAACAGGGCTTTTCAGTGACTGGTTACATTATGAATAGATAGATAGAACCGGACTGACGTGAAGCAGACCAAGGTAGACTTTGAGCTTACAAATGGCGCTTGAGCAGCCGCTATTAGTCCATACCTCATTAATGATCTGCCTCCAGACCTATCCTATGTGCCTAACCCACCCTGTCAACTTTCCCTGTGGGAGGAAACACGGAGTACCTGGAGAAAACCCACGACTTTCGGCAGAGCGTTGACTTTTACTCTTTTCACATGAGGACTGGGTTCGAGTCACATTGAGAAGCTCTCACTGAGATTCGAACCTGCGGCCTTAGAGGTGAAAGGCAAGTGCGCTAACCACTTCGCCACCAAAGCCCCTCACATAAATTGAAAAACCAAGCTAGGCCGGTTGTTATATTTTAGCTGTAATAATTCTAAAATTAAACAAGACTTACCTGTAAGTTGAAGTTTGATTGGGATTCTACTAGTCATCAGTCAGGAATGAAGGAGTCACATGAGAAGCGTGTGCGTGCTTCGCTGATCAGTTTTTAAAGTGAACGGTTGCAGGAATGAGGAACGAAGAGTCACAGGAGGGAAGGGCCTGGTACAGAGTACCTGGGCATGTGACTCCTTCGTTCCTGACTGATGACTAGTAGAATCCCAATCAAACTTCAACTTACAGGTAAGTATCGTTTAATTTTAGAATTCTACTACGTCATCAGTCACGTCACTACGGAGTCGCATGAGATTTCAAAGTCCTGCGACCGTGAAGAACCCACTCCAACACATGAATGGATAAACAAAATGTATTTGTTTTAGTAACCCAACTACATTATAACTACTTAAACTGTTGTTACTGTTTCAACATCTGCTGTGTTGAGAATTGTTGAACCAAAATTTTCAGTTTCAATATGTTTATCATAAAACTTTGCAAAGGTAGAGGAATTGGACCAGCCAGCAGACTGCATTATTTGTTTTAAATTAAGTCCTGCTGCTTTGACACAAGACGTTGATGCAGCCCGGGTGCTGTGACACGTGAATTTATCTGTATCAATTCCCGATTGCTGTAGTACTGATTTGACCCATCTGGCAATGGTGTCTTTGGTTACCGCTTTATGGGGCTTTACGAAACTCACAAATAGTTTTGATTGTTCACCTCTGAGAACAGTAGTTCGTTTGATATATTCTTTAAGGTACTCTAACACACAAACTCTTTTGTCCCTTGGGTACGAGCGAAGTTCCAAAGGCACTTGGTGTTTTCCAGCCTTAGTATGCTTTAAAACTTCTCTAATTGTGATAATGCATTTGTCCGTTTCCAATTGGATGAAGTTCATATCTATCTTGTGTATCGTTTGACATCTTTGTCCTGTTAGTAGACACAATAAAGTGGCAAGATTCATTGTAAGATCTTTTAAACTGACTTCAGAAACTGAAGTAAACTGTTGTAGGTAACAAATAACTTTATTTACATCCCAAATTTCAGCGTATTTTGGGAGGCAAGGTTTCAGTTCAAATACCCCTTTTAGAAACCGGCAAACTAAAGGGTCCTTTCCAAATGGAATCCCTGCCGTGGGTATTATCACTGACGATAGTGCTGATCGAGCAGTGTTTATAGCACTATATCCTACACCTGAATCATATAGTTCCCTAAGAAATTCGATAGCATATGCTTTCCCAGGATTGTGAGGTGCAACATTTTCTCGGTTACAATATTCCTCCCATCGTAAAAGATATGATTTATATTGTTTCTGAGTGCCTTTACGCCAAGAAGCCATTATAATTTCTTTCGTGGACTCTGACAGATTTTGGAGCTGTAAACTTTCCCGGATAAGAGGCAAATCATCATTGACAGTTTTATGAACAATGGATGTGTCTCGTTTGGATGGCTGGGAAGTATCAACAGGTCTTTTGACGCTTGGAAATGTATGGGTGGTTTTTCCCCCATGAGAAGGGCTTTCGCATACCAAGGTTGTGTTGGCCAATTTGGTAGCACAACCACCCCCCTTGCTTTGTCTTCCTTGATCTTGCTTAAAACAGTCCCAATAAGACTGAAAGGAGGAAAAGCATAAAACATGAGTGAGCTCCATGTTAGGGTAAATGCATCTACTGCTGATGCCTGTGGGTCTGGTCTGTATAAAACATATGTATCAGATTGTATATTAATTCTTGAGGCAAATAGGTCAATACTTGGTGAGTAATCTAAGTCTTTTAATGCTTTGGCTAAACGTAGTTTATCTAGCATCCAGTCTGATGCCTTTGCATTTCTTCTTGATTCAAAATCCGCAATAAATTTCTCGCCCTGGTATATGGGCAGCACTAATCCATATTTGCCTCTCAATACACCAGACTCCAGACCCGATGGGCAAAAATATTACATTTAGGAGAATGGCTTGTACCCCTGTTGTTAATAATACCGACTGCAGACGTATTGTCTATCATAAGCCTTATATGTAGGCTACGTCTTGTTTTTGCAAACGTTTTCAAGCCCAAAAGGGTAGCTAATAATTCTAAATAGTTTGTGTTCGTTTGCCTCAATGTGACCACAATCCACCAGTGGCTATACTCTGACATTCAGCACCCCAACCTTGCAGGGAAGCATCTGTTGTAATAACTAGGGAAGGTTCCCCATGGGAAGCATCTGTTATAATAACTAGGGAAATGGGTTTAGAGTGCATCTATTACTTTGTTTGGACAAAGCGATGTTGGGTTGGCATTTCTGACAATTCAATGGTCATGCCCTGAGTATCAGATAAGATCTCTTTATCTGATGTTATGCTTGTCCAGGCAGAAAAATGATTTGAGATACAACCAGCTTTTGAACTGGCACATAATTGTTTTAAAATAATCCTTTAAAATAGGAATAAAATTTTCCATTTACTTACTGGAGAAACAGATGAATTTATTGTCTTTAAGTGAGCGATTATTTCTTGCGAGGTGGTTGGTATTTTCCTCGCTGGAAAAAATCCGACCGTGAAGTGCCAGCATGGTAATTATGCCCCCCACGTGTTTGGCGCCAATTTCGCTGGTCATAGCTTTTTGGCGCCCGATAGTTGTTGTTTCTTGAATTGCTCGTATTCACAGCTAGCCCCACATTGCTCGCCTCTTTGGCGTCTTTTAGTCGTTTGGGTAAATCATCGCCAAACAGATATTTACTTTGCGTGCCATCATCAACACATATTGAAGCATATTCTGGTTTCAAAACGGATTTTATTTTGTATCTGCGAAGGCAGGCCAACTCATAACTTATGTGGCCCAATAAAGCTAACGAATCAACCTGCTGTGTTAAGAGCTTTTTTACATCTAGCTCTTTAGACTTTGTATTAGTCAAAGAATGAGCTGTTTGCAGAGATATAAGGGCAGCTTTCCGAACCGATTCTTGTATTTTCGAGACGTTTAAATCCGCCCGTTGTTGATAGTGCGGCAGTTTTGCCCAGATTTCTGGGTTTACTGTTAGTGAGCATACTGTTGTGCAATTGGCGGGTCGCTTGTATTTTTCTTGAATTAATGTCAGCTTTTCAGGCGCTAGTTTTTTATTCCATCGGTTTTCCGCTATAGTAGCCAGTTTAGGGGTAATATCATCGCCGGTAGCTTCAACATCTTCAAGCATTTCCCCTAAATTCGTAAGGGTTTCATCGGTTGAATTTGTATTGTCATTTGTGGCGCCATCTTGAAGTAAAACCGATACATTATCATCATCGTCTTGCACATGTACGCTCACTTTATCCTGCTCATGATCGGTCGTTTCGCCCCTATTTTCAAGCCGAGTTTTGCTATGGGACCTTCGCTTTCGGCGTTTACGACCCCGACTCTCATTTCCAGAACCCGAGCTAGCTTCTGAAGATGAGGACGACGTTTTTGAGCGCCGCTTTTTGCCTCGTCGTCTGTGCTGGGATTCTTCAACTTCTGGTTGTTGAAGTGACACTACATTTGTGTCCTGAGATTTTTGGCATAAGTCGCCCAGCATCATTGCCATGTGGCTCATAGTTTGATTTAAATCAACTAATGTTTGAGCCAATTGTGGAGTTTCGGACTGTTGTGTGTCCTGGGGCTCAAGGTCATTCGGCTGTGACACAATCTGTTCTGTGTTGTCAGTCGCCATAATAAATCTGTTTTGGAACAAAAAAACACATATATATATATATATATATAAGTTTTATACTTACGGTTTTTGTCCCACGAAAGTCTCCGTTATGCCTTACCTACTCGTCAAAATTCTTCTGAATTTTAGCAAAGTCAAAGAGGAGAAATCACACAAGTGTTCTGATCAACAAGCTGCAAGCACTGATCAGCGAAGCACGCACACGCTTCTCATGTGACTCCGTAGTGACGTGACTGATGACGTAGTAGAATTGGGGCTATGTCCTGTGCAGCCACCATTTGCTAATGTAAATACTTAAATAACAATAAAGTAATTAAAGAAATATAACTAATCTAGGTTGGGTTAACTCCATATAAACAGACAAAAAGTAGCCTGTCTGTCAGAGAGTGAAAGCCATCTTCCAAAAGTTTTTATTTATAAAGCTCAATGTCCCATAATATAGGAAAAATGTTATTATAATACAGGAAAATGGAACTAATTATGTGCAGATTTATTAAATAGATCAGTTAATTTTATTGAGGTCAACTGGCTACTAATAATTTAATGGGCAATGGTCTACAAATAGGTCTAACATTTATTGAACAATATATTGTGCTCCTTATTCATTGTTGACAAAAATTTCAAAGGCTATTCACATTGGAAGGCCAAAATTATGTACATAATTTCAGTAATAAATAAAATAAACAACTTTACCAATGACAAGTGAGACTAGCTGTGAGACTCTTTGTGGATATAGTGACAGTCTTTGCAATTTCACATCATGATTAGCCAAAAAAAACAAAAGTTGATGCAATAAAGAATAATAGATTAATTCCTAATTATTTACAAACATGTACCAGTATACCTTTTGCATTTATATTGTGAAAAAATATCTATATTTTTATTTCATTTCTGTAAATTTTTCTCAGAAGAATGATAACAGACTGCGTAATACCACGTGCAACCCCCCTGCTACGAGACTTGGACTAGTACAATAACTGGTATATAACATGAAGTTTCCTGAACAAAATGGCGGAAATTTTAATAAAAAATGATGATGTTTGATCGTAAAATACAAAAAAACTGCAGGTCAGTGCGAGTTACCACAACTGAATTCGTACTCAGCGTATCAAAATCTATAGATTCATGTAAACTAAAAGTAGACCCCGAATGGGGGCAGCAGAACTGAACGATAAGTGGCCACAGAATACGGCCTATATCAGAAGAAGGCATTGATGTATTTTTAATCAACAAAAGGATTGCAGAGAAACAGATTGGATGGATTCCAAAATGAAAGATAAGTGCAATAGAGGACATGTGTACAAAAGGTTCTATTAATATTACTGGACAGAATGCCAGAATATTTAACAATAGGGAGAAACAAATTACTGAACAATTTGCTAGAAAAGATCTCTCCATACTAGTTTCATATCCTAATGTTTGATTTCTGATGTAGGTATAAATTTATATATTTATTGGCCTTTGTTAATTTGGTGTAAGGGTAATATTTGGCATTATTAATTAAATTATATAGAGACATCAATAGTATGCCTGTGATTTTTGGTGTTAATGACTTTGGTTTTTTTTTCTTAAATCACCCTAACAACATATATTGTGCTTATTTAAATTTTACTTTTTTCTTAAATTGCTTTAATTAAATTGGTTTAAATCACATACATCACTTAAAAGGTTCACTTTTGTCTTAAATCTCTTTGCATGACTTCAAAAACTACATTTTCCCCTTAAATCGCACTAAATCGCAACGATTTAAGGTCCCAAGAGTTGGTTGTAGCCGACCAGCTAACTGCGTTGGCAGTTGAGTTAATGTCACATGTGGTTTACAAATAATATCAACTGAACTTACCCTATTCTATTGTTGATATCACTTGGTTTAGTTACTTGTTCATTGACCCGCTTTCTTTCTCTTGTTCCTTGACCCCAGCCTCAATCTAAAAAATGTCCTCGTCTTGGTTGTTGATATGGTTGAAATCATGGTTTTCATTGCTGTTGTATGACGGGTGATAGGTGTTTTGGGGTCGACCACTTGTTGACGACTGTGAGGAACAAACTCTTTCTGTTCTTGATTTAAGTCTTGATTTAATTCTTTTTATATGGCCAGCCTGCATGTGTGGTTAAGATCATGTTGACATTGGGTCATCATAGCGACACCATCAGTCAACGCTGTGACCAACGTTTTATCACAGTTGTTTTTTACAGCTTGTTCGGTGGTGTAGAACATAGCACTAATGGCACCAATAAGCAACTGTTGAATTTTCTGATATTTCACATCCGTACTTTGTACGGTCGCCGAAATGTGATTCCATATTAATGGATTTACTCTGGGAGTTTGAAGATTATCAATGTTCTCCGGTCTTAAACAATTTGCAAGTTTACTTTGCACTTTATCATCTGTGCCAGACAAGTTTTTCCTAGTCTATTGATGATGCAAAGTGAGTCAAGTGACTCAAATTTGACTTGGGAAAAATACTGGTGAGTTATCAGAAGATGATCAGAGATGCGAAGACCGTAACTGGAGAATAAAAGCATCCCAGTCTAATGCAGTTTTGTTTCGATCACAGCCTCATCCCCTTTCTCAAACACAGCAGTAGAAAGAACATTCAATGCGCTAAAGCAAGTCAAGTCACTGATCCTCACTGAAATTGACGTCGTAAGAAAGAAATTTCTTGACAAGTTTTTTCCTGTAACTGTTGTCTAATTGATGAAACTGTTGTTCTAGGTAGCATTGCTTAGTAAGGCATCTGCTGGAGCAAGATCCAGGAGTTAGTGCTCATTGAAGTCCACTTGGTATAACATCAGCCGGCTTCAACCGCATTACGAGGCTCAACCTTAAATGGCACCCCTTTTCGAATGCACATAAGCCATGAGTTGCTGCCAAACGATTATCAGAAGCGATCGAATTTTTCCCAATGGTTTAACCAACAATGTGAAGAACCACATTTTTGGGGAAACTTGGTGATTGGTGACGAGCCTACATTCTCAATGAATTGTGTGGTAAATTCTCAAAATGTACAGCATTATGCCCCAGAGGAGGAGTGAGGACTATACCGGCATGCAACGCGGTCAGGCGCGGTTTTTTACATATTATCGATTTCTCACTCTGCGCCGTCATTGTTCGGTCGGCTTTCGCTGTGTTTACACCTCGAGGTTTTAAGAGATTCAGAAAAGATTTATCGAAAATAAATTGTAAAATGGTTGATTTTTGCACTACGCATGGAAAGAAAGCTTCGTTTTTGGGTGGACACGAGCTTCTGTGTGTTCACTGTGTGTCAAAACAGCCTTTAATCTTGATTCCGGAATAATTACCGTGTGATGAACTTGAATGTCGTGAGGTTCATGTTTATAGTTTTACGGATAGTTCGAAGAATAGTCCTTTGTCCAGCTGTGGTTAACGGGATAAAAATTGATGAAATTGTTCGCTGATTGCGGTAGTCCTGCACTGGTACAAATTCACTCTAGTTGTGTTTTTAAGGTGAGATGATTTTTATATAAAAATAGAAATATAAAAATGCTCCTATGTTGTATAAATACAGCAGTATTAAACGTATTTTTATTTCATATCATGTAGTTCTTCGACCCTAATGATCTACGGGAAGGAGGTATAAACAAAGAATATAACAATGTTATGTTGTTGGGAGTTTGACATTTCAACATCACCAACATCCCAAGCAATCCCACCATGTGACCCAGATAGTCGAGATGATGAGCTGGATAGTGTACTTCCACCAATAGAATTACATCAGCCAACTGATTGTAACTGTTTTAATTTACCAATAAATCCTGTTTGCCCTGACAGACATTCATACACACTGAATGATGGAAGAAGCGCCCAGTGGTAGCATTGTTGTAAAGAATGAAATGGAGTAAATTCAACACTATCGCAATGTGTGATGCATTGCAAGGATTTATACTGGTCAACCAGTTATCTATGCTCAAATGATCAACCAGTTGTCTATTATTTTACTCTGCCTAATGCCAGATTATTTTACTGTCTAACACTAGACTATTTACTCATCAGGGGGAGAGTGCTGACACTCAATACTCAATGGGTTAAAAAACATTGAAAGAAAATGTTTAGCAGAAGCTGCAAAATTGTTTATTGGTGTCTGGTGTAATACTGACATTTCTTTTATTTGTAAGGATAGAGCTGGGGAACTTGTAGTGGTACAGTCCTGGCCCTACCCCTGTTTTCCTGTACTGCATGTGTTTCCGTCACTATTATACCATGTATATATATCACTTGATTATACCATAAGTATATCCCATGCATGGACACCATCTTACAGTTCTGCAGTTTTTTTGACAATCTACCGTAAACCTCCACCTAAAAGAACTGGGCTTATATTCTTTCGTAAGCGATTTTTGATGGGCTTACACAAGGGGGGGCTTGTACATGGGGGGGGACTTATATTCGGAGGTTTATGGTATGTATGGTTTTCACGATTTTCAGTGTATAGTCTTCCCTTGCTCATCACAAATGAATAAAAAGATCTGCACACACTACATAAATGATGTTGATAAAATTTATTTATTTTAAAATCGAAAAAAATATTAACATAATATTACTGTACTTAATAAAGATAATTAAAATGTTTTTAACAATAAAATCTTATGCGTACAATTTTAAAATGTTGCACACATTCATTTCACCAGAAACACGGATGCTATATGATAACGTATATGAAAGGTGATGCTTTTGCTCTAGCTTAATGATGTATTAAAACAACTAGAGGTATTACATAATTGGTAAACCTCTTCAATCGTAATCATTTGCATGTTTTTTTGCAACAGATATGAATTCAATGAATGCTTTATCTTCCTCAAATGTCCATTTATGAAGTTGTACTGGGGATTTCTTTGGAGTCGGTTTAATCTTTCTGATAGGAAACTACAAAGCAAACAGCAAAAGTGAGAGGGGCAATCTCAGTGCCAGCACAATTAGACGGCAACAAAGAAACTTATGGATGTTTACCAGGATTGTGGGCATGCTTCTCCAGGAAATGTGTGTACTATAGGTTTTCTGGAATGCCACTCCCAGCATTGAAAAATAATATGGCGTACAGGTGGATAGAAATTGCCCAACATTGTCATTTAAAATAGAAGGAATACATCTCCTGTCTATATACTGTTTAAAGTCATTTTTAAAACAATTGCCGAATAATTTTTTAAAGAAGAATTCTGCCCAACTAAACACTGACTGGAGGGGTTGCAACCCCCAGCCTCGTATGCCTATGGACAGAAATTCTCCCAGGCAAAAAAAGCATTAAAATACAATGTTTTAATACTGTTAATATGACAACTTTACAATGTTTTAGTGTGGTCAAACTGGTCATACTGTATTTTATGTTTGTAAAAACCTTGATGTTGAATTTTTCAAACGAGAAATTCTGCGTCTTTTATCAGTAGGTTTCCCTGGAGTATCACCTTCAGAAGTATATACCCGTTTAAAATATATACTTTTACTCCAAAATAGCCAAATTATATAATAAAATGAAAAAATACAGTCAGGGCAGGTAAACATAAGCATACCTAACCTTAAAAATTGCATTAAACTTAAAATATGTACGAACAAAAATGCGTATGTTTCAAAATTATCATGAAAAATAGTGATTAGTACAATAATTTCCTTCGCGCCATGATTATTTATCAGGCGGTCTATTCCCGCCATCGGCGATAGAATATAGCGAAAGTACCCCATTTTCAAACCGCGATTACTTGTCGGTTTAGTGGAGCAAACTCATGTTTTAAAGTAACAGTACAAAGAAAAAATCTTCCCGAATTCGATGACGTGTTTTGTTTTTATTTTCCTAAAAAAAAAGTGAGTTTGCTTCTGCATTATATCAAGGTCATTTTATTGGCGTGTGCACTGGCCCGAATCAAGCACAATTACAATCCGTAATTAATATAACTAAAAAGCAATTCCTGTACCAAACAAGTCAAAAACAGTTTAATTAGGGTCTTAAATAATACAAATATAAAAACATACCTTCGAAAAAACGAGATAAACGGAGCCAAAATCGCAATGTATTTCAACAACTTTTTGCCAAACGTTCGTTGAAAATTATAATTGTGAATAATAATTAGACGCAATGCATTGTGGGAAGACCCTCATTCCTCCTCTGGGGACGCGCTAAGTCTGTCGAAAATGGAAATTTGGACTTTTGACAAACAAAGTTCGTCGTGTGTCGCGGGAATTGCCGCAATGGTGAAGAAACCAAGTTCTTTCGAAAGAGGAACGTTCGTGCTATTAGACGATGTGAAATTTATTGCTCTGCGACGATTCTGAGGCGAGATATTGGACTCGATGTCGGAGAGTATATCAAATAAGTGGCTAGCCTTGTAGTTATTTATGTCCTATACGGCCATGTCGTCCAGTGCCATAGTACTGATAACCGTTCAAGTACGACGAAAACATAAAGCAATCGCATCAACTAGACTCAAAAACACGACAAATGGATTCTATTAACAAGTGAGATATATTTTTTACATATATTGTTAATATTTTTTGAATTATTTTGTTATTTTAAAATATAATAACGGTTTAATAAATATTCAAAATATATAGGACGTTCAGAGATTGGGCCGCTTGTGTACAGGGTATCTAAACAAACGCAGTGGAAATTCGACAGGCTGTCGTGCATCATAAAAGTCATGGCTAAACAATTCAATTTTTACATAGGACGAAAGAACAGTCATTTAGGTAAAAAAATGTGGGTTTTCGGTTTCTTCTTATAAAAACTTAGGTAGGGTAGGTCGGTTTTAACTTTTTTTTTTAAACCTTTTTTTTTAATTTTCCGAACAAGCGGACGCCATTTTGTTTAGTCAGTGCTTCCACATCCAAAGATAAATTTCCCTAATATTGCCTCAAATTTCAATTTTCCGCAAACTTTTTCCTCTAAGTGGAAACATTTACATGCATGATCCAATAAAAAAAGTTTAGGGTCGGGATTTCGACGTCCAAAAGCTAGATAGGGTCGGGAAACCGGAAACCCACATTTTTTTGGCCTTATCTTTTCAATGATACTCTTTTTAAATCGTAACGTTGAGAAATGGCCACACACTCGACAAATAAAAATTGCCGGCCGAAATCAAAATGAGCTCAACTCGTCAATCTTGGGTGTTTCGACGTCTTTGGTGGTTTCAAGTGCATTGGCATTGCTGTGCAAGATCGCTTGTGGGAACTGTTCGGAAACCGCCGGCGTTGCTGCCCTCGGCCATGCAGTTGACTAGTTAACCTGAAATTCAGGCCCTAATTTGAAATAGGGCCTGACACAAAACCTGTCTAGACCGTGGGACGCCCACATGTTATTTTTAGACACACATGCAATATGATTGACAAGTGTTGTAGATTTCGTTACACAAAAAATTTATGTTCTCATGAACATGTCCGCAGAGCATTTTGCTTTTTAATTAAACTTAAAAATTCAAAGTACTTTTATATAATTAAGAGTCAGTTTCTCTATTTAACCGAACAGGCGAACAGCAAACAAAGATTTAATTAGTCAGTTCTGTGCACGGCTTGACTGCCAAGCTTTCTCAAGGTCTCAATTTGCTGGACGCGGATATACTCTAACGACTAACGGGCTAATAACAGCAACAATTAAATTCTCAATCATACCACGAAGAAGGCGATGTAGCTCAGAAAACAACTACGCCGGTACTACCTGATATTAAAAATAAGACTTTTGCCGGCGAAGCAAGTTGGCAGAACATCTTGGCTGTCAACAACAAGCTTTCGGATACATGACTAGTTTGGCTGTTCTTTCAGCGTCGTGTGTGTCCAAATTCGTCAAAGATTTTGATGAAGCCCTTTCAAAATACTGTTTGTTTGATTTATTTTCTGCCATAAAGCATAAAAGAAAAGAAATTCGAAGAAATCGATAATGGAATTTGTTACGTGCGTTTGACCTTTATATTAATTCTCGCCTTGACCGAACTATTTTTAAAACTGTTGTTTATGTGAACTTGCAACCAATCAAAATCCTTCATGATGCTGATCAACCAATCAGATTTCCCGTCCACCAGGTGGACGGGAATCCCACACTTTAGATAGGTTTTGTGTCAGGCCCTATTCTGTGATAGGGCCTGAACTTCAGGTTATTGACTAGTGGCCGCCGAGACCCGATCTCATGTCATGCATGTGATTTTTCCCTTTGGGATCACTTGAAAAGCAAAGTTTTTGTAAGTCCACCAAATGACCTAAACGACTTTCAAAACCGTATTTGCCATGAAGTATAGTAACGGGCTATATTCCTATAACATTGCAAAATGATCGAGTCATGGTGAGTAACGAGCTGTCCAGGGAATGCTCCGGCGAAGCCGTCTTTGACTTTGTGTTGACAGAGCTGGCAGATATGTCGAAAGAGTCGGGGCTTGAATGATCAGACAGTGTAAATCAAATCAGTGTAAGTATAAGCCGGTATAATGTTAATAATATGTGTTCGATAAAATGCTGTTGTCTTCTTTTATTAAACCATGTTGGCATAAACAGGTATTACGGGACAAAACTCGCTGAACCAAATGATTGCAGAAGAAAATCTGTCGTCTGTTATCCATTATATGAAGAATAAAATTGTGATTTGTGGTTAAAACAGGGTTATTGATTGAGAAAAGTTCTCAGACCCATTATTGAGGGTCTTAATGGGGGTTTATGGGTGTCAGTTGTCAGCTAAAATTAAATAGTCATTAGAGCAGCAGGTATGCATAAATGAAGTAAATGGCGACCGTATTGGTATGACCACCACAAATCTTACCGCGGTGTTGCTGACATATTTAGAGAAAAGATAATTCCATCGTTTTCTGGGTTATGCATGGCAGGAAGAATGAAATGGTGTCTATGTAGATATGTTTCACATCACATAGCATAGCATACGACATTCATCATTTATAGACATGGAGCGAGGGGGATTCGGCAAAATTTTATCCGAAGTGCATGATGATTTCTACTCATTTAAAAATATTCTGTACGGCTTCAGCGAAATTGGCTCATAAATTGAATTCAAGCGAATGTGTCGTTATACAAGTCTTGTTTTAATTAAGATCAGTGAAATCAAAAGCCCGTTATTATCACATAATTTCCTGCCTGTTTTGATAAATGTTTCTTATATATTTACGAATATAAATCTTTTGAATTCTTCTATATGTGAATGCATAATGAAATAAAACAACGAATTAGACATTTTGAAAAGAATATTGAATTGTCTCAGAATGTATTATTTGTGATCGGACATGCACTGTCTGCGATCTATCGCATACAGTATGAAAATTCTGTTAAATTACAATTAATGGTAAAAAATCCTAGGAAATTAAATTTCCACCTATATTCTAATTAATGTATGCATGGCACTATAAATTAAATCTATGATACAATAAATACAAACTATTGCAAACTTCTAAATACAGATTTCTAGAACTATATAAATTTTTTAAGGTATAAAACAGTTTGTAAACTGACGAGCAGACTATATGAGCAAACAGTATCAAATTAAAATTAACCGAGTTACCATGGGTATACGTAATTACTGGGTCTGACATCGGTTCGTATCCCGCTGTGATCATTCAAGATTCTAGTATCCCCCCCCCCCCCTGAGAATCCAGTGTTCCACTTTTGGATCCTGGTTACCACACGTTTTGGCATCACTGATCTTGACCAATTCAAATAAATAATACACAGTAGATGTCTCTAATTGTTAGAAATACAATGGCAATAGGAGACTCATGATGCACATGCATTTATAATAAGAAACTTCTAGTTTTTAATGTGGAAATCAAAGGCAGGTTTATTTTCAAGGTGATACACCCATAATGTTAAAAAGTTATTGGAAGACCACTGCATGGAGACATTTAATGTTATCCTAATTGATTTGAAATTTTATTGTATCCAGTCTGCAGACTGGATTGTGTTGCTGGGATCCTGAATTTGCGTTTTTCATATTCCTCAAAATTCCGTAAAAATGGAAAATTTGAGCGTACATTACGCCATTCTGTATGCAACAACAAAGTATATTTGACTTTGTTACATGTCTCTAATGACAGTTGAGGAAGTATGATATAATTATTCCGATCTCCCATAATGTTTGTGTGAAAAATATTGAAAATCTGCCTCGACCTTTGTGTAACCAAAACCAAACCAAAACAGTAGGTAACCAAGACCAATATCGGAATACACCAAATTTCAGACCCTGTGACCTTGGTAAATAATTTTGCCTATGAAAGTACATGATAAATATGGTAACTTGGTGGTAACACTGGAAAAAGCACAGTAATGAAAAGTATGGAAACGGCATTTAGTATGGACATTGGGTTTTCATACTATTTCTAACTAGGATCCATTTTATTTCCTTAGTAAGGATTTTGAAAAGAATTTCCAGTGATACTAGATACAAGAAGATACTCAATATTGTAGAAATCCCAGCATACATGCGCTGGCGTTCTTAAAAGCGCTAAATGCTACAAAAATCTACTAGTCTGCTAAAGTGAATGTCTACAAGCTTACAATCTGAAAAGGCTAGTCTGTTCTTAGCCAAATGCTTTCAGTTCAAAAACCACTGGTTTCAATTTGGTAGCATAACCGTCAAGCGATAATTAATGCACCACCAAAGATGGCGAAATTCAAATTCAAACGAGCAAATGATTCTCGTCAAATGATTGGCTATCACTCGCCGCTCCATGAAGAAGTATAGCAAATTACGGATCGCCTTTCCGCGAACTCCTGAGGTGGTGGTGACGGTGATGGTAAAACTGGATGGTTATATGGAAGTTGAAGGAATTTATAAACAAAATGCCTTCCTTTTACCTGGAAATAAAATTATCAACATATTGTTACATAAATTTGTATGGGCAGTAGTATGGCATCGAGTGCAATTTTAAAAAATATAGGTATAGTAGTGTGGCATCGAGTGCAATTAGAGCTGTGCAAACTCCGGTTATTTTAGCTCCGGCTCCGGCAGTCAAACTCCGGCTCCGGGTCCGGCAAGAAATGTTTAAGGAAATTCCATATTTAAAAGTGGAAGCAGGCGAAAGTATTTCAGTGTAATTTTAGACTTTATCTTTTTTAAAAACCTTTTTACAACACTATTAATAGTAAACCACATAGTAATATATAGTAAAACAACATATAAATAGTAATATATTAGTAAACAGCAACTTAATTTTCCCATTTAATGCCAAATGTTCGTTGAAATATGAAATAATTTTTCGTAATTTTGTCTGCCGGAGTTTTCCGACTCCGGCATCGGCTCCGGCAAAATATGCCGGAGCTCCGGCTCCGGCGCACAGCTCTAAGTGCAATTTGAAGAAGAAAAAAACCTTCACGAGAGAGTTTTTCAAAAACGATAAAAATAGACCTTTTCATTCACAGTTTTTCCAATTTCTTATTTAGGCAGAGAAATGAAAATCCAACACTACAGCTGAAAAAAGAGCACATTAAAACTAGTAAAATGGCAACGTTTGTGTGGTAAAATATTGCAGCGTAAAGATAGTATGGCCTTTTAGATACTTTTATATTGTGGAATGATGGAATCCATTGTTTTCCCCGGGTAGGCAAATATTCACTTCCGCAACATAAAAACATTTAAAATGTGTAAACTTTGCAAGGCCATATATCCTTATTTTATAACATTTTACCACCAATTGCAATTTAACTAAATAGGAATTTGCAAAAACCGTGAAAAGATCTGTTGCACGAGTCTTAAGGACGTGAAAAGAGTTGCGCAAAAGCAAATGATAACAAGTCCCAGTTAAATTTTGTGTTGTCATTTTAAGAGTACTTGTTTCATGGCTCCTAATTGGAAAGAAACAATGTGGGCAAAATCTATATACTGTATTATCATTGAATAGGGATTGGTCGAGTGACCTGATTTGCCCAACTTTATTAAACCTAACACCAGAAGATTTCACTCATCAAGGGAAAGAGTATTTATTGATCACACACTTGGGTATATGGGATAAACTCCTCTTTACAGTACTTACCTTTTGTATTATATCTTTCTTGTAGTAATACCTCATAGCTCGGCACATTTTAATTTTGTCCATATTCGGACGTCGTTTAACAATTCCCCATTGTCTTGCAACCTCGCTAATATTCAAAAATTCAAATTCTCCCTTCGCTTTGTCCGTCCAGCGGACGATTGACGCACACTCGGGGTCTTCTAAGATTTCAAGCAAGAATTCCCAAAGATAAATTGATGTTCTCGCCGCCAGTATGGGACCTGCATGATTTGCTGAAACAAAAATGCAAACTATTAAATTACAGAGGATCGTAAAAAGAGCCGTTTTGTACCAGCAAGAACTTTATTGAACTCGTTTATGAAAATTCATTTACAAAATTTAGCTAAGCTTTGAAGCAAGTGCTAATAATATTTCCACAAACAAAATTATTATATTTTTCGCCATGCAAACATACAAAGAACTTAATATTTCCACAAACCACAATATCTATTATTTTATCGCCATGCAAACTTACAAACTTAATTAAGGCTCATTAAAGGTCAGCCTAGACCTGGGCCTTCTATTTTTATTATTTTTTTTTTTAATATTCAGCGCTTTTTACATGAGAAGACTGGGACTAGGACCTACCAAAGCCATCCGAGTAAAGGCCTAGGTCTAGGCTGGGGAAAGGTTAGTTCGCTGACCTCAGAATGACATCTCGTCAGAATTTTTCTTTTCAAGATTGGTTTAGAAACAAACTTGGAGTGGGGTTAGGTTAAGGTTAGGATTAGGGTTAGTATTAGTAAAACCGTTGCTTTGTTACGTTTTGTCACGCCTAACCTCTTCCTGAAAAATAGCGCTAGCAGTTCTAAATGTCCTCGCCCCTAGACGTCAAGTAATATTCTTGGTTTGCACTTGACGTCATGGTGGCCATGTTGGAGGAACGTCATAACAGAAGAATAAATCACCAGTAGCTATTGTATTTGGAGTGTGTTTTTCTTCAAGACGACCGCCATATCTTTGTCTTATAAATCTCAAGGGGTTAATTGCAAACCACTAAAAAACTGGATACCAAATAATACTCTGCATGGTGATAATACGAAAATCTTTAGTATTTGCAAAGATTAAGGGAGTTCAGGAAAGGGAGTTCAGCGAGCACCGGCCGCATTTGGAATTTAGAACACAATTTTCTGACAGGATCAAAACTTTAATGTACGAATCCAAGCATTAAAATATAGAAAGGGATTCGATACTATACATTATAATTTCGGGGCTGGAAGAGAAATTATATTGAATACTGGGTTTTAAACTAGTTTGAATATGAATATTTCTGGTACTAATATGAATATTTTTGGTAATAATATGAATATTTCTGGTAATAATATGATATTTCTGGTAATAATACGAATACTTCTGCTAAGAATACAGTAGGTACTAGCTTTCTATACATTCTCCAATTAAGTGCATATGGAGGGCATGCATTTAAACAGAAGAATCTTACTAGAATCTCAATTGTTGTAGGCTCTTTGCAGTTAACTAGAAATATTTGAGAACAATATATTAAGTATATATATTGTATTCCGTTCTACCCCCGCGCGATTGCAACTCGTTCATGACATGCATCAGGTTTCAAATTTATGACTTATGTCACAAAAATACGTCACAAATCATTAAGTTATGAATGTTTATAATACAACTAATACACACCTTGTTTATATTGAGCTCTCGGTTTGAATGTGTGACTTGCTAGCATCTTAAAATTCTATTGATAATGAAGAACACTTTCACATTAGCTTTACAGTGGATTTCAAGAAACTTTGGCCACATATATATATATATATATATATATATATATATATATATATATATATATATATATATATATATATATATATATATATATATATATATATATATAGTAATATATATATGCGATACTAAATATATAGTTTTTGCAATCAATGTAAATGTTACATTGTCACACCAAACAACAGACAATAAGCCAATGCCCGAGAATTCGAATCTGGAGTCATGCATGCGGACAAACACGAAATTCATCCTCTGAGGTGCCAACTTGTCAAGTACGACACTCATGAGGGCATAAACCATAACATATAGGAAGACGCCAATGAGCAAGTGCACGGTGTACGATAGACTTTCTAAAGTCCTTTCCAGGCCCTTCTATGGCGCGCTTCACTTCCTCTGTGGAAAGGACTTTTGTCACTTGCAGCGCGCCAAATATCACCGGTGGAAATCCACCGGTGACGTCATTGTTTACATTGCCGATTTGCCGAAGCGGTTAATGTTTATCGGTCATTATCGAAGGAGTCTAAAAATAACATTATATTCTCAGGCTTTTTGTTGAACAAATGTGTATTATTGAAGCAAACAGAGTAAACAATGTAATTACAATTTTGTAGAACACAAAAACCATGTGAAAATACACAAACAAACATTACATTGAGTATAAAGTACAGGGTGTAGAAATAAACTTTAATACTGCCACCGAAGATGCATCTGATGATTCTAAAATTTCCTCACTAGTTTCAGGTTTAGTTTGGGTTTCTTGATCTCGATTACTGATTATTACAAATTCGTTTGCTGAGAAAACAACGTGTATTTTTACTGGATTTTGAACTCTAGCGACGTCTTCTAGTTGATCACAATCGCCGCCTCTGGCTCTGCTTCTTGGTTACGTACATTTGTCTGATTCTCTTCAATTAGATTAACTTCTACTACGTTAAATCGCTGGCGAACTGAATCAACTTTCTATAATAAGTCTAATAAATTACTATTCTTGTCGACACAATTACGGCACATTGTTAGACAAACAACTGTCCAGATTCAATACGTTATTACATGCACGCTTGTTTTTGTTGATATATTGTCATTGAACAGCTTTCGGCGCTTAATACTTGGGTCAGTTATTTCGTTTCCACACTTGGTGCAAACTGTTTCATTCGACGACAAAGAAATATATCAATTCTTGAGAATGTTTTTGTGTTTTTGTAGACCCATTGTCAGCGCAGTAAAGTAATTGCATGAAATGTACACACCCCTTTTATGTCAAAATTATTCGCGCCAAAATTTTTAATGCGATTTAAATTCCTGCAAGGGACACAAGTCGACCACTCGCGACTTCGTCGCTCCGGTCGCACGTTCCCTCCCCCGCGCCCTCCCTCCCCCATGGTCGACTTGTGGCAAGTCTAGGTGTACGAGGGTGTATATTACTGGTCGAGTACAGTGGAGCGCGAGATATAGGGATTGTATACACATTCCACTCGAAATATTATTTTTTCAGTTTCATTTGAAAGGTATAATTATGTCTTTGATTTTATAATAGCTTTTATTTCTTTATTTTTATTCGCTTTTAGTTTAGTTTTGTTTAGTTTTATATCGTCCAGAAGTAATTTATTCATAAATAGGCTATATATTCTGCTCAGATTTTTTCTATATTCTCAGTTATGAACAGAAAATTTATTGGAAATTGTATTGTCAGTATGGCGTTGTGTTGTGTTGGGCGAATCTACCGTTGCCGCGTTACTCAAAAACGATTATCTTTTACTAGTAAAATATATTTATTAGATTCGTCATATATTACCAACATATCAAGACATAAGGCTAGGCAGGGTATTTAGCTAACAAACTGCTTACAAACTGAAATTTGACGTGGTCGATTAATAAGGTGACGCGATACAGTTTTTAAAAACATCAGGTGTATATAACATGCAGTATACATTATAACAGTTATATAAACGTCGTATTCTAGGTTTTATGCAGCAGATATCAGGGTGTTCACCTATTATGATGTTTCAACTTTCAAATTTATATGTTAGTTATGGAAAACATATAGTTCGTTGCTATGGCATGAATACATGCGTACGAAATTCGCTCTGAAATAGCCAATTGCTTTGTGTAGTTGGAAAAAAGCACGGTGACCACCATTATTCTTTTTGTGCATGCACTATTTTACTTGGAGTATAGACCAACAATAAGCAAAATATAAAAAAATCTCTAATGCCATTTTTTAAAAAACGCAAAAATGTCGTTTCCAGTCAATAATTTTTTTGACATTACAGAACTTTTTATTTTTGGCGCAAAATTTCAACATAGGTCACCAAACGAAATAATGAAATTTATATAGCGCACTGTTTTAAAAAAAAAATTAATGATAATATTCCCGCGGGCACGAATGGTCACGCGGGCTTGTTCATATAGTGTAATGTTTTGTTTTTCTTTTACGCGATTCTTGTACAAGGGATTTTGCGTGGATTAATATATCGAGCTACCTTAAATCATTAAAATCTTTACCCTTCTAGTTCTAAGTTACTATAATTTCCGCGTTAGTTACAACCATTTAAATCTACCCTTCTAAGTCACTATTAATTTCCGCGCTTATAAAATGCAACAACATTCAAAATTCTCTGCACCAAATGTAATACTACCCGAACTCTGGCACAGTTTCTCAAGTGCTTGATTTATAACTGTTAAATATTGTATTGTATATGTCTTAATTCGGGCACTACAGATCATTTGACTATTTTAAAGAAGAAAAAAAACAATTGCAAAAACTCGTGGCAATATTGATAGCATTTTGGGAAACACGCATTTTTACAAACAAAAGTACGATTAAATTAATTTAATAAAACAGATCTAAAATAAAATATAATCCAAAACGTTGTCACATACCATGTAATACAATGCGATGTTGTTCATAGAATGATATTCGGCGGTCTGTAACGATCATAGAGGTTAATGACAATAAAACTGAGGCTAGGTTCCCCCTACAGGACGCAAACAATAGACGACTGCAAAGCTGAAGTCAGACTTGTGACCATTAATAAACATACAACTCTTTTAATCTGCATGGGTTTTACCCTAACCTGACCACAATGCACGCCGCAATAACGCCGCAATCGGCAAGATTTAAGTCAAAGCTTAGGAGAATTTGTATGACAATCAAAGTAAAGCGTCATCTTCTGTTTAGTTTATACACATGCCAATCGAGCGTACCCATCAGTTTGCAAAACAGCATGCACAGGCTTACTGAAAAGACAATTGACCTTGAAATCAAAGCGGATTAATTAATTTCTCTTATAAGTTTTTTTGTGATTCATCTTCATTCCAACTAAATTCTCCCAAGTTGCCACAAAAACTTCCGCTCAACGGAAATTTTTTCCGCTTTCGAGTATTTTTGGGCAGAATGACGTCATTTATCAATTATTTGCATCCCGAATCACAATGTTATATATTAAATTTTCTTCCTCGTTTGAGAAATGATGTCTCGACTTCATATTACAAGCTTTCAACGCATAAGTAGATATTTATTTCCACGTGTTCACTGAATAACTATTAGAATAGGAGAAACGTGCGACTTAAAATGTCTTTGTATATTGGTATTACTAACATGAATGTTCATAACCTAGTTAATACATAATTGTTCATAACGTAGCCGGTCCTAGGGAGTACTAGTAGGGCTCTGAGCAAAAGCCGTGTCGTGTCTAGTAGGTTCCTTCTTGTAGGTTCCATCACTGTTAATTCAGTTATATATTTAGGCGTTTTAGAAGAAAAAGATTTTAATAAAGAAATAAAAAAATTTAAGGAACACATTCATCCCTGCATAATAATGTAAATGTAATTATTAAAAGTTGGAACGCCGAACGTGGTTGGTTTCAAGACATTAGAGTTGGGAAGTGGTCTTGAAATACAAGTCATTTTAGTGCATGTGGCCTATATAACATATTCAAATTCAAGTAAAACAAGGAACAAGGGAAAAGTATAATTTGCTCCAAGTGTTTGGACGTAAATACGTAATTTAGTATATATATATATATAGAACATTTTAGTATATGATACTTTTAGTTTTGAGCTTATAACTACCAAGTTAAAATCTACAAGAGCGATCTGCGAGTAAACCATATTATCATTAGGAACCCAGAGTGTTCGTATTCGGAATGAACTAGTTATGTCTATATAAGGAAACAATTACATATCTACTGATTCCAACTTCCCAAAAACTTCCCCTTCAGAGCGGGTAGGGCTTGCTTAACAATAAAGTGATGATGTAATAGGTTCGGATTATTGTACATCTTCAACTCGAACACAGCCGAACTTTTACAAATAGTTACTCAATAAGATTCAAGAAACTATTCTAGGAACACAATTTTTCCCCTCAAACTATTCACTGGCTAGTGTTCTAGACTATGTGACCGGAGTGCCTTAATTTCGCTGTCATCAGCAACCTGACTTTCAGCCATTAACCCTAAATTGGTTAAGGGAATTTAACCAGCTAGCATGACCAGAATCTACTAGTTTAGTACTAAATGTAACATTGATAATCTACATTGATAGTCTTACAATTAATGATAATAATGATGTTTCCTTTATGTCCACCATTAAAGACACAGGATTTTATAGATCACATCGAAATATGTGAAATACGTACCGTTCTATTACAGGCTTAAAGCTCATTAATTGATCGAAAATATTGATCACAGTTTGCTCAGAAGCTTAGCCTTAGGTTTGGACATTTTGAAGGCTTGATATTTCTAGCACGCTCTCAAACGTGTCTTTGACAATGGTCTGGGCGCTTGAAGATTACTTCATATAAACGTCTTGTGCACAGACGTCAAAATACCTAAGGCGAACACATTCAGTCTTCGAAAAACACCCGTCAAAGTTACAAACATAGAATAGTCAGGGTCTTACAACCGTAGACTATCAGACTTGTACCACATTATACAGCGCCATATTTATACGATGACATAATCATGCATATAGAAACGCTTTGATCATAAACCGGATTTGAAAGGATAAAGTGATAAAATATATGTTAATGTACACATTTACACATTGGTAAATATCTACGAAACGTTTTTAGTAAGATATAAAATATACTCGTGGCTTACCTTCGATTCTGAGCGACGATAAAGGATGATAAACGTGCTATGTGCTGTGAATACTAATATGCATTGCCCACTCAAGAAATATATTTAATGCATCACTTCCCGTTGTTTGCGAACTTGATTTACATGATATGGGAGGCTCAAGGGGGCATCGTGGCCATGAAAATATTGGGAATCAAATTTCAGATGAATATTCGAGCAAATTGCATGACGCTAGTCGCGTGTTTTGTTACTGTTAGACTAGTAATACTAAACCAAAACTCAACTGAACAGAACTAACCCAAAGTGTATAGGTTGTTTTTACAAATTTAAACTCTTCTCATCGTGTTAAAGTAAATATACATGCAAGCCCTTTAATACCGTAATTATAACAGAATTATAATAATAGTGATAACACAAAATGGTAAACGTTACTGTAGCTAAGGGGGCGACCATTAGAAAATTGATGGGGGCGGGAGTAGGGAATTTTCAGTTTGCATGAATATTTTTTGGCTGACTGCGTAATTTTAAAGCCATTTTCTTCTTTTCACGATTTTCTTTCTTTTATTTTCCTCCCTCTCCCCTCGCCCCTCCAACCAATCACTTTTCGAAAGTTTTAGTGATGATTAATTAGTGGGCCCCCATTAGTTGATTGAGTTGAAGTAATATTTCGGATTCGACTATGAGGACTGGAAAATAAGTCCAGTCCGAAATGAATGATTAGAAATGACATCTCATACGAATAAATATCACTATACTTAAAGTGAGGTGAATTAATTTTGATCCAGTCCAAGGACTGATTCACCTTGATCCAGTCCTAGGACTGGATGAATATACTTCACCAGGTATCCAGTATTATCATGTGAGCAAAATAAAGTAATATGGCCATGGTTCGCTAATTTACTCATGAATTATTAAGAAAATGAGTTTGAGACCGTTGGGTCAAGCACGTAGTTCTCAAATTTCAACAACAGGGTCTCTTCAAGGGAGATCTTGGTGTATAAACCGCCAGAGGGACCCATATTATAGTTAGAATGCCATTCTGAGTCCCTCCCCCCTCTCCCCACTAGGCTTCCACTAGCTAAACCTCCGATGGCTGTCTAGAGAACCTCATGAATGGTTAGTTTACTTACATAACTGTAGCACTGTCGTCAAACTCTGGGATAAAGTTCTGAGAAGGATTACTCTTAGCTTCTAACTAGCACGTAAAAACTACCAATGCCCTTTTTATTTTTTTTACTGTTTTTATTTAAAAGTTTATTTAATTGAAGACGCTAGCCCAATCAACAAAAGCTGGACAACACATATATATATATATATATATATAAAAATATAGTAACAAACAACTAATTATTAAGATGTGAAGACAAGTGTGACGTCGTGGGCATAGATCTACAGATCGAGTCTGTCTAACACCAGCCGAAAGTTCGTACCCATAACTTAGCCCCGTTGTATTTGAACTATTTTAAGTTGAGAAACTCTTGCTGTCAATGGAAGTGACCGATTTATATCATTATTTCTGAGATTATGTGCTTTTTGCATATTGCTTCACGAAATAAACATTGGTTTAAAATTGTGGGCGGTGTGGTTATTAAGGCTTTGATAAAGAAGTTAAGATAGATTTGTGCAGAGATCAAGGACCTCAATAGATCTGATTTCATAATTGGCTCCAGCTATTTTTGGTATAGGAAAATTGAAAGCACTCTTCAACTCATTTGGGGCTGAAGCTAAATTATTGTCCGCAAACCACCGCACAATGCAGAAATCGAAGTTCAGGGTTGCTGAGGTAGCTTGCGCTTGTGGGGAGGGAGTGTTGTACGTGGGCGGAATCAGCAATATCCAGCCTTAACAGACACCTCCTACGCATGCTAGGCAAAGCAGGCCGACGAGAAGTTCCTTGTGTGTCCGTGGGTAATTAGGGCAATAATCCAGCTAATATCGACCAGTACAGAACTTTTAACTTGTCGATGGCGTGCACATGCTGGAGTCTTATCAATTGTGCACAGTGCAGGGCTGTGCTTGTCATTGGATATGGTGTATCGTTGAAGCTTACTTCAAAGTTTAGAGAAAATTTTTTACCCAATACAGGTGGCACCACTCAATTTGCAGACAAGGTGCACTCTTCCCATCAACCCCTTCGCCCTTCTCTCGCCACTACAATACTTCATGTAAACTCGCCATTTGCGCATCGCTGTTTTTTACAAAGAGACGCCTGGGTACGAGGCAGGGCATTCCTTATATGTGGCATCTCAAATGGCAGATATCCGGCCGTCCCTCGGTATATATCAAAACAGGTTCTACCATAACGTTAAGATAATTAAATATTAAATGGTTTAATTAATAGGAAAGATGGGAACGAGAAGATTCGAACCACTGAACTATACTGATACATCTATTTCAATTAAGGTTGTCCCCGAACAAAGGAGAAAAGTCGAATACGAGCGTGAAAGGCTTGCTGAGAATCGCTAAAAATTAATTAATTTTTTAGCGATTCCCAGCAAGCTTTCGCGCTCGTATTCAACTTTTCCGCTTTGCTCGGGGACAACCTTAATTGAAATAGCTGTATACATGTATCAGCTCTCCATGTATATACATTTCAGTGGTTCGCATCTTTCCTATCTTGTACTATTCAGTATTCAGTGGTTCGCATCTGTCTCGTGCGCATCGATCTTTCCTATTGAACCATTTAATATGTCATAATTATTATCTTAACGTTATGGCAGAACATGTTTTGATATATACTGAGGGACCGTCAAAATCTGCCATTTGGGATGCCACATATAAGGAATGGCCAAAATCTGCAATTTGAGAGGTGCCACATATAATGAATGTCTAAATCTACAATTTGAGAGGTGCCACCTGTATTGGGTAATAATAAATTTTCTCTAAACTTTGAAGTAAGCTTCAACGATACACTATATCCAATGACAAGCACAGCCCTGCACTGTGCACAATTGATAAGACTCCAGCATGTGGACGCCATCGACATGCAGTTAAAAGTTCTGTACTGGTCGATATTAGCTGGATTATTGCCCTAATTACCCACGAACACACAAGGAACTTCTCGTCGGCCTGCTTTGTCTAGCATGCGTAGGTGTCTGTTAAGGCTGGATATTGCTGATTCCGCCCACGTACAACACTCCCTCCCCACAAGCGCAAGCAGCAACCCTGACTTCGATTTCTGCATTGTGCGGTGGTTTGCGGACAATAATTTAGCCTCAGCCCCAAATGAGTTGAAGAGTGCTTTCAATTTTCCTATACCAAAAATAGCTGGAGCCATTTATGAAATCAGATCTATTGAGGTCCTTGATTTTCTCTACGTGCATGACGTGCACAAATCTATCTTAACTTCTTTATCAAAGCCTTAATAACCACATCGCCCACAATCTTAAACCAATGTTTATTTCGTGAAGCAATATGGAAACAGCACATAATCTCAGAAATAATGATATAAGTCTGTCACTTCCATTGACAGCAAGAATTTCCCAACTTAAAGTAGTTCAAATACAATGGGGCTACGTACGTTATGGGTACGAACTTTCGATCGGCTGGTGTAAGACAGACTCTGTCGATCTATGCCCACGACGTCACACTTCGTCTTCACCAGTGGCGTAACGGAAACTCCGGAGACCCCCCGTCAAATTTTAAAGTGGAAGCCCTATTTTTCCCAAAAAATGTTGGCGGGGGAGACCCGAACCATATTAATTAAAAAAGGGGTTCAAAAAGATTTTCCGGACTATGACAAATAGTCACAACAATTTTTCCCCATCTGTGTCTAAAAAAGGGGTGCAAATTTCACCAAAATATTCCTGCCTTCGGGGCCACACGTTGCAAATTTTCGGGCCTTCCGAACTGAGGGTCGGGGCAATTTGCCCAATGTACTAGCAAATGTGTTATGGTCAATTTTGCCCCCCCCCCCCAGGCGTGGGACACTCTCTAGTTACGCCACTGGTCTTCACATCTCAATCATTATTTGTTTGATTTTTTCTGTGTTGATGTAATTTCTGTGTAGGTTCGGTTCCCACCGTGGCCAGGTATATTTTTCAAGCTTGTCCGGTGTGGATATATATACATTCAGGGTAACATCCGACAAACATCATTATTTGTTTGTTACTATATTTATATGTGTTTTGTCCAGCTTTTGTTGATTGGGCTAGCGTCTTTAAATATACTATATTTAATAAACTTTAGTAAAGTTTTAATTGAATAAAAACAGTTAAAAATTGTCTGCAAAAAATATGACGTCAAGCACTTAAATGACTTCATCCCGGCAATGCATTTTGTCCATATAGATACGCTATCGACGGGAAACTCACCTAGGCGGGATGAAAATATCTCGTCCCGCCTGGGTGGGATGATAAACAGGCCCTAAATATATATTTTTAACGACTTATTGACTATAAATAGCCGCAATGTTTGTCTGTTGATGTTTCTGATATTGACTACCGACGCATTCAAATGTCAAAAACAACTATTCCTCACATCCTTTTGAGAGGTGGCCATATGTCACGTGAAACTGCTGTAAATATTATTATTACTACTCAGAGGAGGCGCTAGACCTGTAAGTGAATTTTGCCGAATTATTAATTAAGGCAAATTTTGCAGAGTCACTGTAACCACTAATTAATATTTATTTTCCCTAAATTCGGGGGGGGGGGGAGCGGGGGAGGGTAGCGGCGGCACAACATCAAAAAAATCTTCCCGTGAACATATTTCTCAATCTTATTTTGTATTTATAAACTATCGTTCTTGGTTCCATTTTTACCACATTTTTTCGTAAATTTCTCCACCTGTTAGCTATCATTCTTAATTAGTTTTAATCATATTTATCATGCTCTGATTTTCAGGCTTACTGACAACGTCTATTTTTAAAATTACTTCGCCAATGGACTCGATCATCAGATGGGTCGTTTTAAAGCCATTTAAAACATTGTTTATATCTGATCACACTCATTTTAGTATATGTAATAGCATGGTTTCGAGTGCAATTTGGATATAACGTCATGCACGAGTGAATTTGTCAAATCCATTGTGAAATAGGTAAGTCGTCAAGACGTCAAATTTTGGGTATAAATTAACAGTATTAAATTCATCTCGAACAAGCCAGTTGTCAATAGTTTTGAGTCGCCGAG